CACGGTAGCAGTGCTTGCAGGGTTAGTGTGGTGAACCATACTGAGAGCCTGAGCAGCTTGGCTGGAGCCTTCCAGAACTGCTCTGAGCAATTTTAGCATTGGGGTTTCTTCCTCTTGTTGGTATCTAAAGAGTAACAGGCCAATGAAACAATTGTGGTTGCAACTTTTTTGAAATGAGTTCACTTTTTCTGATAACTTTTCAGAGTTGCTGAAGTTTTTCACCAGGAGGTATTACTGAGCCATCCTGCCTGGGTCCTCTGCCCTCCTGCCTGCGCTGGAAGTCAGTGTTCCATCCTCTGAGCCCTCTGCTATGATGGCACCTGGGTGGTCATTGGGCCCCCATTTTGTTTCTTGAAATCAACAGCAGAAGCAAAGGTGGGTACCAGTAAAAATGCTCTTGCTTGCAACTTGGGTAAGTGACTAGTTCCAGTATTAGCTCGTTATCAGAGGAAAGCAGTCAAAGACTGCCTGCTGTCCTGCAACACCTCCTCAAGGAACTCCTTGGCTGCTCTTTTTGCTCGCTCACTCTGGCTGCTTTTATGTTCACCTGTGTGCATTCAAAGGGTGAAAGAGCCTGTGGGACTGAGTGCTCGCTGCTGAAGCTGTTTTCTTCCAGGTGCTCTTCTCCACCTTGCTGTTTACCTTGCTGAAAGGGTCACATACACAGTAATCAGAGCTGTGCAGAGCCACCTTCATGCCCATAAGCAAGCATCCTGTTTTCCTGTGGTAACAGGATCATTTCACAGCAAACCGCTCCCAGCAGAGAAATGCGATGAAGTGAACATGTCTGTGTGCTTCCAGGGGTGCTTGCAGGCTCTGGCTTAGAGCAGAAAGCTGAGCAGGAGGCAGCCCCTGCGGCACAGGGCAAAGGGCTTGTGTTGGAGGAGGTGGCTGGAGAAATGCAGAGCAGCAGCTGTCTGCTGGCTGGGAGGAAAGGGCTGAGCCCAGGTATGGGCACAGCTCGTCCTGGCGCTCGTACGCTGCTAGTGTGAGCAGAAAGCAGCAGAATGAGGAGTGTGTGGTTGTGTACAAGGCATTTTAGGTGACTTTGTTCACTTTCAAAGGCATTTTATTTATCTGCTTCATGCCCCTGGAATGCTTTCTTCCTGACTACACGAGCAGCACTGGCGCTCTCTGGAAGCAGGCTGTGTAATGCCTAATGCATTCTCCCCAGGGCCTGGGCTGAAGTGATTTTGGTCTCTGAAATGCTTCAGGCTTTAAAGTGACTGCTACATGCGAGCTGGGGGTCAGTGTCTTCTCCGTGTCTGCTCAGCAGGCACATTTGTCTCAGAAGCCCTAAGCTTTTCTGCCCCTTGCTGTTGTCAGTGCCATCATTCTTTGGAATGTGATGGCCTAGTGCTGTTTTTGACCACGTGCAGATGTAGGTGTCATGAAGGGTTTGTTTGCAGCTTTGCTGTAAAGGTTGTGTGGGGATCTGTGACAGCAGGGACTACTTCCCTTTGTTGGGGATGAAATGTAAGTGCTCTCATTATCAAACATGCAGCACGCTCTCACTGAACAGAGGCTGTGTCTGCTGGGAAGTTGAAAGGCAATGAGTTTGCATTAGACAAGTAAACTTGCAGTATGAATTCTCCCTGTCTGAGATCCCTGCAGCCTTCATGATGCAGTCCTCTGAGCCAGGACTGTCATGTACTACATGGCTGTGCAGCTTATCACACAGGGCTCTGGCTCAGCTCTAGACATCAGCATGAAATAAATATTAATAACACAGGAGCCTCCCTGCACACCAAGTTGCAGTTTCAGACTCTCTTATTGATGCTTCTTTGTAGCTGAAGAAATAGTTGCAAAATCATCTTTTAAATAAGTCTAGAGCAGAGAGTGAAAGGGACCAGAAGGGTCAGCTGAAATAATTACAAACAGAGGGGGACTGTCATTTGAGACAGTATTAAGCAAGATTAACCCCACTTAATTCTTAGAGCGGGCTAATGAACAGGGCTGTGACAGAAGGATGTGTAATAATGAACAGCACAGAGAGGGTTAGCGGGGTTATTCCTCACTGTGTGTATTTTCAGCGTGCTAAAGGGATGCAGAATGAAACTCACAGGCAACAAACTTGGAGTGGACAAATGGATTCTTCTTATACTCTGTGCAAAACTTAACCTTGTAGACCTCGCTTCTACAAGATCCTGTGTTGTTACGAGGTGCACAGAAACACAGAAGTGGTCAGGATTTTACACGGTGCATTATTTAAACCCATTCAGTTCATTTAAAAGCAATGTTAGTAGAAAGAAAAGAGGAGGCTTTGCTTCAGGTGCAGAAGCAAGCAACTTCAAAAAACCTTACAGAACTTAAAGTGAAGGCTACACCAAGCAGAACATCTAGCTTTCCAAACTGTCCTTGTGCGCATGGGAAGAAGAGGTGCTCAGCAGGGTAAAAGTTGGTAAGACTGAAATGGCTGAAGTGCAGGTTCAGAAAGACTGGATTCTAAATATTTTGTTTCCAGGTTTTTCCTTGGAATCAGCTAGTTTGAGAAAGCAAGCTCACAGTCTTCTTCCGATGTAGTTGTCGTCGTACTCTTTTCATCAGAGGAGATAGCTCCCATCTAATGGAGAGTATATTTGGTTGTTTGTATTAATATAGATGATGAAATTTTGGTTCCCGAGGCAAAAAAAATCAGGAGCTGTCTTTCTTTTAGTTCTGCTCGCATGGTGGAGTTGCCAAAGTTCACCCTTGCCTATGTTGGAAAGGAGCTGATTGGAAAATCTTTGCTGAAAGCAAATGTAGTGCACTAGGAGCTCTTTTGCTTCTATGGCAGTCGTTGCACTTGATGTTTGTTTTTTGCTTTCTAGGACTTGCTGGAAGATTCTCATCACCAGAACAAAAGTGATGGCAGTATTTAACGCATGCCGTTTTTTATCTTTAGAAATTAGTGGAAGTAGGATAATGACTGCAAATTTAACTTTGTTCTAAAGTCGATTACATCTCTTTTGCACGCTTGATCTTATCTGTGGGGATTTCAGTCATGCATATGATCTAGTTATCTGACAGCACTGAGAGGTACCTGCGGCTCTGGAGCTGGAAGAACTGGATAGAGTTAGTGCTAACCTGGCAAAGCAGAGATGAATTTCATGTTAATGAACTAAAGTAGGTCGAGTTACTTGATGTGGTTTGTGTCAGCTCCTATAAACCCAGGACCAGATTCTGGTCTCAGTTCCGTTAGCGCTGGCTCTGTTCAATAGATAGCAGTTTTCATTTAGGCAGGAAAAAACCATTGTTTCAGCTGTAAGTCCCTTTAGATGATGATTTTCATGTGTTCAACAACACGGACTACCAGCGTGAGACCTTCTGGACAGCTGCCCTGTGTGGTAAGCAACTGCAGGCAGGAATCTGGTTCTCTTAGGGGGGTCATTGATGTCTCCAGCTTGGTGTGAGCTGCTCACAGTTCAGAAGTCTCTGGTTCCATACCTGTTCTGCTGCTAAAGCAGCAGCTAGTGTGTAAGGAGGGCTGTACACCCTGACTGGATGCTGCATAAACCTTATTCCTCTCTTCTAGGATGTGTTTTGTAGTGGGTGTCAGAACCACTGGCACATCTGGTGAATTTACCCCCTGTAGTGTTTGGTATTGAATTATTTCCAGTTGTGTAACACCTCTGTGTTACATGCAAATAATCTGTAAGCCAGCATTCATTGAGCTTCATCTCATTAATACAATTTAATTTGAGACAGTGATCACTAATCACTGCACAGCATCATAGGAACGCCTGGGCACGTGGTGCAATAGGAAGCTTGATTGCACAGAGAGGGTTTGGGCAGATCCAATAAAACTGAATCTTGTTCTTCTGGGGTCTTCCAATTAAATCACTGAAATCCATGTGTAAACCAGCCAAGAACTTGATTCTCCCAGCTTATGCTGAGTGGGAAAATACAGCTGCGTTAGTGGAGTATTTTACAGCTAAGTTTTGGTTAGTGAGACTTCTTCATTCCCACAGAGACCTCTGAACAGAAATTCACTGTGGTTTGTTTTTTTTTTTTTTTTTCCTTTTTTTTTCTTCTTCCTTTTGTTAGGAGAAAAATATTCCCACAAGTGCTCAGGAAAATAAACGAGGAATCAGAAATGCCCAATGTGGCATCCAGTCCTGCTTAGCTCTGAGCATGGGCATCTATTGAGTGAAGAAGAAAACAGAAATAACTGCAGTGTTTTGCAATCAGCTGCTTTACACAGAGGACCAGCAGTCAGTGTGCTGCTACTGTTGGCCAGTTTAATTTTCAAATGCAGCTGAACAAAGAATTTTGGTCATAATTCTTGCCACTGTTCTGACTAAATATGGCTCAAATCAAAGGACTGGGGTTGGCATCTCATTATTAAAATCACCACGTTGGAAACCACTTTACTCTCCTGGTTTTGAACCTCTTGCTGGATGCAAATCGTGTCACCCATAACAGCCACCCCACAGAATAAGCATCCAATCCATCTGGTAGTGCAGAGTGCAGAGGGACTCAGACTAACATGGACATTATTTACCTTTTTAAATAGGATATGGAGTGACTTTCTTCCCTCGTTACAGCAGCTCAAGCACTTACACAAACTTGTTAAGCTGCTTAGAGAGAGGGTTGTTTGTCCAGGTAATGCTGCTTTCAGCGTGTTATGCTGTGAAGAAAGCAGATGCTTGACTTCATGGAATTTGGGGATTTCTGGAGAAATTGCCTTTGGGAGAAATTTAAATAAATGATGGAGAGCTTCTGATTTCTTTCCTTCTCCGCCTTTGTTCTCTCTATGCAGATGGGTCTACACAACACTAATAAGGGAGTCATTTAATTATGTAAAGCTGCTCCAGGTAAATGTTATTTACAGATGGCTGAAAAATTTTGAATTATACTCATTTGCTAAGTATAGCTTCATTCTCGGTGCAGAGATGCTGTTAGTCATGATCAAGGTAAGCTGCAGATTGTATACTCCTCTTTGCAGCTTTCTACCCATTTTGAGTGTTTACTTTCTTTGTGATTTTTAAATGGTAACCCTGCAGGCGCTGTGCACATAATTGAAGTAAGCAATCTGCTTGTTTATCCCTGTTTCCATTAATTAAATATGTGCAAGCTAAATTTCCTACTGAAAAACATGAGATGACATGCATGGGGCCAAAGCTACGTTCTCTCTCAGGAGGCTGAGCTGCCAGCCTTGGGGAGGTCTCCAGAGCAGGACCAGACCCATATCTGCAGCCCTCCCAGCTTGTCCTCTGGGCTTGCTGCAGGAGGATGGACTGGAAAGCAAATGTATGTGAAGCTGTGATGTTGTTCCTGGGCAATGTGAAAGGGTGCTTCAGCAGTTCCATCCTCTGAGCTCACAGCTGCCCTGTTGTGGCTCCTGGGTGCTCTTCTATAGACAGATTTCATTTTTCTTGTTTCTCTCATTGCTGTCCCAGTGGCTTGAATCTTCACTTTTGTAAATGCCAGAGGTGCAGCTGCTAACAGAACAGTTACTCCTGCCCTACAGCAGCACAGTAGGGCCCAGAAGTGCTGTTATTTGCTGAAGCATCTCTCTGATCCCCAAAGGCAAATTCATTTGGACGAGGCCTGGCTCTGCAATGACCACATACTGGAAGTGGACAGGTGATCAGCTGTTGGGCTTAGCCAACAATCTGCCAAGAATGAAAACTTCTTAGGAGTAAAATGGAAGAGATCTTCATGTTGCATGCAAAAGCGAACTGTTTTCAGCCTGTCCAAAAATGAGAAGAAAGGAGAGGGAATAGGCTGTGCTGTAGGTGTGCAGAATAGCTGGTAAGTGGAGAAACTCATAAGGGAGCTGATCAGTGAAAGTTGAGCTCTGGTCAAAGTCTTGGGGCAATTGTAAGTAAAACCTTTAGAATCAGAAGAGACCTGTGCTGATTTTTGAAGCTCTTCTGTTGCAGCCAGGCTGAACAAAGAACTCCAAGGGCAGCAGTCCACAAGGGACATAAAGAAAATGCAGGTTCCCTTAAAAAGGTAAGAAGGGAAAATTTGCACTACCTATTATCATCTGTGGTGTGAGTGGTGATGGCAGGAGCAGCAATTGCAGCAGAAACGAGGTGTATCCCAGTGCACAGGAGGACCTACATCCCATACTCCTGTGGGAAGGAATAAGTGAACTTACTGTGAGGCACTAGAAATTAATAGGCCTGACTTTTGCCAACTTCTGTCAGCATTCTGCCTTGCTCTCAGCAGTGCAGTAGCAGATAAAAACTGTGCAGGGTGGAGATGACCATGAGCAGAGGTGCTTTTCTTTACTGTGGGCTCAGAGAACACCCTGGGTGTAAAGAGGGGCCCTGCCTGTGTAGGAGACCTTGGTGCCCCCAGGCTCTGGGACCAAGCACTCTGTCTGATCTGCCAACAGAAGCAGCTGAGCACGTATCCATGTGCTTTATGAGATCAGGGCCCGTCGCTTTGCTAGAGGGATAAATAAGTGGTTCTTCAAAGCTAATGGCATCTTCTGTATGTGAATACACCGTCGTCTCATTGCAATCCTCTGGTGTCGGGCTGGCCTTGCACACACTCGCAGCCATCAGCTATCTGGGCAGCTCCCTGCCAGCCTACACCCTGCATCCCTGCGCTGCTCCGAATCATTCTTCTTCCCCTTGCAGCTGCCTACCTGCAGTGATGGGTGTGTGCCCTTTCGCTCACTGGGAGGCCGGCAGTAAATAATGTATTGGCTTTTTTTTTTTTTCCATTTTACATCCAGGAGCAGCTACTTTGATTAGTTTGAAGCAGAATAAAAGACCTATAAATGGGGAGAATCCTGAAGGTAAGTACTTTCCTGTAGACTTAATGTCAAGGCACACACAGTGGCTTTTACAGGGGCCATTTAAAACTGTTATCCAGTGTATATTTTAAGGACAGAGACATAATTCAGACATCTGATTGACTGCCTGGAACGTTGATTCAGCAACGTTCTTACTCTACAAATTTTACTTTTAATAAACCTTGATCTGAGAAATTTTGGGAACTTCAGATATCGTGTTTGCTGCCCTTAGTGGATGACTTCTGCTGTCTGAGTAGTGATGGATTTGCAGTGACAATAAGGTAGAGGAATGGCGAGGTGTGGGAGGGGAGCAGTGGAACTGTCACTGCTGTATGCTTACTCATTGTCTTCCCTTTTCACTGCGCTGTGTTATTTCCAATATTTCTCCTGGTGCCGATGGTTCCAGGGAAGGCCCTGAGTCAGTGCTCTTATATCCTTGCAGAGACCACGACCCTGTCACGGTTCCTCTCTCATGGAGAGAGGAAATGGAGAAATGACAGTGACACAAATGACAGTGACCTCTGAGGTACCCCCAACAGACACAGCATTGCCGTTCTTGGGCCCCTTGTCCAGGGATTTAGGAAGCAAATTGGACTAGAAATATATTTCAGAAAGCTGTCAATCAATTGTCTGTTGCTTTTAAGTCAGGCTGCTGCTATTGAATGTGGTGCTGCAGCAGCCTTTAAAAGGAGTCTTTCTCACAGCATGTCTAAATTACGGTGCTTCCTTTTCCTGCCCCTGTTCCCACCTGCCCTCAGACGCTCTCGTGTTTGATGCAGTGTTTGCAGAGCTCGGCCATGGCTGCAGCCCCGCAGAGATGTGTTGCTGGGTTTGTTGCATGGTGTGGGGTGTCGGGGCAGCGCCTGCGGGCTCCTCGTGAGCCCAGGGCTCTCAGATGTGCTGACCACCAGCATCCTCCCAACACCGGTGCTTTTCATCCACTTTTACACCTCGTATGCATCTACTCCCTCTCTCCTGGTCACAGGAGATGCTGATGGCATTTCTCCCTGGGATGTACAGTGTGCTCCACGTTCCAGTGTTTGTGTCACATTTGTTACCACCATTTTAGACAACTGCTTTGACTCCTCCTCATGTTGCTCCCCAGCTCAGCAAAGAGCTCCCCGTTTCTCCACCCTTTTCCTGACTCCTGGGATGCGTTCCCTCCTCAGGAAGTTTTGGGACACGGAATTTGCACTGCACAGGGTTTTGCTTCACGTTATACGGGGTGCCTGAAGTCAGTGCCATGGTTCTGCTGCTCGAGCTGAGGCTGTGCATGCTCCAAAGCTCTGGCTACTTAAATTCCAGGACAACTGACATATGTCTGCTCAGCTCAGGCAACCGCTGCTGTTCAGCCATTTCCAAATAGCGACTTCTGTATTTTGGAGCTAAGGAAGATGCCTGTGGCTGCGAGCAGTCTGATGGGAGCAGCTCCGTGGCCGTCAGAGGGAGGTGGAGGCTGGAGAGCACGGCCATCTGTGCCTGTGTGTCACAGACACAGCTCCGCACTTGGCCTCCGCCTGCTTTCTGCCAGGGAATGTTAATACTCAACAGAGGAATTAATCAAGTGGTGTCAGCGTGGATGCTCCGTTCCCATTAACGCAGGGCGTAGCGCTACTGCCTTTGATATTTACAAGTACTGGCATTTTCTGCATAGGTGAGAAACCTTCACGTCTGAAATACACCGAGCCATTTCTTAGAGAAATTGAAGCCAATTTTAGAGTATTACCACGTTATCACAAGCCAGAAGCGCTGGCAATCAGAGGCGTTTTGAAGTCATTAGCTCCAGTTTCACTGACTCGTTCTGTGTTTTTTGTCTTTGGTTACATTCATTGCTTCTGAGGAAATGAACTCACTGACAGCTTGGAGGGCAGGACTGGCTTAGGCAGATTGGAACAAAACAGCGCACCGAAGTGCTGCTTCTAAAGCCACCGTGCAGTCTTTGAATCCATAAATGCTTCTCTTCGCAGATGTCCTGGGAGAGGGGAATTCGTGCCCTTAGAATAGCTGCACGGATGAAACAGAGGATGAAAAAGCTTGAACACAAATGTCTTGATAATAAACACAAATGTGTTTATTGCCATGTATTAAAGGTAAGAATGGAAAAATGACTTTGGCATGTTTTTGCTTTGTTTGCTGCTACTCCCCTGCATGGCAGGCTAGCCCTGTGCTCCAGCTTCATTTGAAGGCCAGTTATCTTTTTGAGAAGCATCAGAGACTCAGACTCTGAGTATATAATCATATACCATTTAACCTTGAACTTCACATTTCAGTAATGGTTCTGGTCAACTTGAGAAGGAGATGCTTCCTTATGGTCCGAGGCGGGTAGTTAGGCTTGATGTAAGATTTCTCTACCCGTGAATGAGGACGTGAAACGAGGCTGGATGTTGATTATGGTTATTTTCACCAATTCCTCCCCCGCTCTGAAACTCCATTTCATTTTGATCTGAAACATTTTTCTTTTCCTTTTGCCAACTGACCTGGAAAATCCATTGTTCAACTAAATCTAAGCTACCCCAAATACAGATCTTCCGTCCAGAGAAGTAATTTGTTTCTTTGCCATCAGTCCATTTGTTATACCCCTTCATTGTTACGATTTGCTCTGTTCTGTGGCCTGAGATGTGATAATCTAAGCAGAACAGAACTGCAAAATGGGAAGATTTTTATGACCCGATTTAAAACTTTTGTTTGCTGCAAACACAGAAAAGGAAACAAAGCGCCGTATTAATTTCTTCCTTTCTAGAAGCACCAGCAAAAAAAAAAAAAAAAAAAAAAAAAAAAGGAGATAGGAAAGAAAATATGTAATAGAAAAACATAAAGCTCAACACCGGAACTTGTTGATTTCTAGGTTTTATTTCCTTTTTATTTTTTTAAACGAGGATTTTCAAACCATCCACTTGCAGAAATTTGCATTTTACGAGGAAAAAGTTACAAAATATGATGAGATCATTGTAGGTACCTTACCTCTTTTTCCTCAGCTTGCGGCATCTAAAACTAACTGTGCTTGTCATCTTCTCAGTAATTTCTTATCATTGAAGTTAAAGTATAATCTAAGCTTGCACCAAATGAGCTGTTCCGAGATGAGTCTGCCAAACTCTGTATTGCAGTGGGATTTCTGCAGTTACAATAAGATGCTGCCAAAGAAGAATGATCTGTGGAATACAAGTGAATGCAGTGCTGATGAGCATCCCGAAGTCCCACAAGAGGTTAGAAAGAGCACAACCTGCATTCTGTTTTTGATCTCTGTTTTTATCCCACAGCTGGGAGGGGACGACAGCAGGAGAAACGAGGGGCTGATGGAGGGCTTCTCTCTGCTGTAGGGTGTTCTTGCTGCTCACTGATCGTTTGTGTGGCTGCATCCAGCCTGGAGGGCTGCAGAGAGAGTTTGCCTGTCAATGTGTGGTAATTATTTCTACTCCTCTCCGGCTTTTTCCTAATTGATTATTGGTTCTGCCTGCAAAGTGAAAGTGAAACAGACAAAGGAGGCATTTATCTTCGTCTTGTCTGAGAAATTCCCGATGGGCAATGAAAGCATTTCCACTGCCTGTTGGTGGATCTTACACTCCCGCTCGCCAAACTCTTCTGCACATGAAAAAAAAGCTGTATTTGAGCAGTTCTACTAACAAGCTTCTTGGCTGCTGGCTGGATTAAGGCAAAGTTAGGCTTTGTCTGATCTTAATTAATCCCAGGCAGTGCTTCTATTTCTGCCATTGGCCGGTCGGGAGAGGGGGGTGGATAGCCAGTGTGCTCTGACTGCATCATGCAGTGCCTGCTGCGTGAAGATGTTACCTGTGCTGTAAACCTGTCATGTTATTCTTTGGAGAGGGGAATTCTTACTTTCTAATCCATATACTTACACAAAGCCGTTACTCCTCTTACATACAAAGTGCTTCATAATCTCATCTTCAGCCTTCAGGCATAAAAATAGCAAAGTTATCCTACTCCATACTTAACTACTTGTGAGTATTGTTGGTATCAAATATGATTTTACTACGTGGAAGATTACCTTCTGGTTATCCTTCTCTTGAAATAACGCGGGAAGAACGTCGGATACAGAATGATTTCTGAAGTTTTGAAGCAGCATTTACTGCTGCTTTATACTGTGTGCAACTTCAGACAGCAGCAGCGACGTTACTGGGAGAGTCCCTCCGACCGCAGGGAATTGGCACCCTATTAAACCTCACTCTCAGCAGAGCTGAACTGGAAATGTTACAGCACAGCCCTGTTTTTATCTCCTGACGAGCGGTGATCAGAACCATGTTGCCACAGCCAGGCAGGGTTCTCCCCTTGTCTGTTTACACCCTCCTGCACTGAATCCTTCATCCGGTCTCATCCACCCGCTGATGTCCCCCTCGTTCCTCTCACAACAGGCTTGCTTTGGCTTTTATCCCAGGGAAAGGCAGCGTTGCCAAGTCTCTCTGTGCTGAGCTCCTTCCAGTGATCTGCTGTTGCATGCTCAGCATCTCACATCCATCGCAGCACTGCTTCCACCCCTCTGCTCCAGCCACGTGGATGCTGCGGGCAGAGCAGCCCTGGGCAGCAGCAGCACAGGTGGGCACAGCACGGGGCGGGTGTCTGTGCCCTAAGGGTCTGTCCCTGTCAACTGCTCTCGGAAGGGCTGATTGTGTGGCCTGACTGCAGTGGGGTCACCCATCAGCTTGGTGTTACCACCCAGTGAAATTGCTGGGGAAGGGTGGTGGTGCTTTTGTAGGGCTGAACTTGGACTGTGGCCATTGCACGGTGGCATGGTCTGTTCTGAGCAGCAGTGTGCACACACACTGGGTGACCATGCATGGCTGTAGTTCCCAAAGATCAGACCGCAGTCTGTGCTGACAGAAGACACAAAGTCAATTAATGGAACTTTGTGCAGCCATAAATTCTCTCACCCTGTCATCACAGAATCACAGAATGGCCAGGGTTGGAAGGGACCTCAAGGATCATGAGTCTCCAACCCCCTGCCACACGCAGGGCCACCAACCATCCCACCTAATGCTAGACCAGGCTGCCCAGGGCCCCATCCAACCTGGCCTTGAACACCTCCAGGGACGGGGCATCCACAGCCTCTCTGGGCAGCTGTTCCAGCACCTCACCACTCTCTCTGTAAAGAACTTCCCCCTGACATCCACAACCTAATAAAGAGCACCTTAACAAAATTGTACATTGTTACATTTTCATATTGCCTACAATAAAGACACTTTGATGCAGCTTCTTACATGACACCTACCAGCACAGTGCCTGTAGTTTACTACTTTCAGTGGAATTTGATGCCTTCCAAAACCAGTGACATCTCCTCTGTTTCCACTTTTCTCCACGTTTCAGAACAGAACAATATTGTCCCCAGTTTGATGACATGCCTTAGCTTGCTTTTCAACTCTTCTGAAGTGTAATCCCAGTTGCCAAGGTAGTCCAACTATCTCCTTCCTGCCCTGAGCACTAACCCCTCTTTTAAACAATCTTGTATTTTTAATAGGATTCAAAACATTAACAGTGAATTTAAACATACTGAGGTACATATTGTCATCTTCCTATTCAGGCAAGAAATATGTCAGAATCATACAGATGCAGAAGCAGAGCCTCACACAGGACTGGGGGTCTCCTGCTCATCCTGCTGGTGCTTTGTGGGGGCAGTGAGAGCAGCCCTGTGGAGAAGGACCTGGGGGTCCTGATAGATGAAAAACGGAACATGAGCCAGCAGTGTGCTCTTGCAGCTCAGAAGGCAAATGGTGTCCTGGGCTCCATCAGAAGAGGGGTGGCCAGCAGGGACAGGGAGGTGATT